GATTAGAGCACACATCGGCACACTCACCTGTTCTTCACTGCTTGTGTCTCAATGTGCTTTTTCATGCAGCATTGATGTTGTGTGACAGGCACAGTGGGAACTCTGTGAGTCAAGAGATGCGGAAGCAAGTTAGCACAATCTCCAGCGTGAGGCTTATTTCTTCATCCTGGAAAATAGTCGCGTAAGCAATATGATTCTAAAATATAACAAAAATGCTATATTCGTACACATTTATTTTGAATTTTTTCTTTGATAGTGTTGGTTATATTTTGGCTTTCATTCGGCATAGTCATAAGACGCCGGTGACCACATTCATTTGAGATTCCCTAAGAAGGAGACTGTTTAATAAAAAGCGAAAACATGAAAGGAGCTTGTGCTCTGTGTGCATTTTTGTGATGAGTATTTGTTATTCATGTAATTTTTTTAAATGTATTTCCTGCCCTGTCTCACACTCGGCTCTTATTGCTTGGAGCTGGAATCGGGACAAGATATGAAGCTTTTACCAATAGCTAGAAATGATGTACCAATGCTTCCTAAGAAACTTGAGCTTAGACAGTCCTCATCAATGTCACAACTTCAGACTATATTTCTAATTGGTATATGAAAAAAAAATTGGACTTATTCAAATAGTTATGTTCTACAAGAAAACAGAAAAAAACTTAGAAGCATGGCTACCACTGATATCCTTCCTTTTTTTAAATTTGGAGCTGATAAAGAAATTAGAGAGATCGTTTGGATCTTTATTCCAGTCATAATGTTTATTGGCAGATAACTTCAGACCAATTGTGGAAACTGGCAAACTGAGGCATTTAAACCCAAAGAATATGCCGACCAAAGATGCTGCTAAGTCACTTCTGAAAACCAGCCAAATATGGTGCATGGGACTGGGAGCAAGTGTGAGGTAAAAGTTGAAGTATCAAAAGGAGTGGTGCATTACAGGATGGTGAATTCCTTTCCTGCTTCCCATTCTATGCTTTTGCTTAAACTAGTTGTGTGAGACAGAACCACCAGGGGATGAGTCTTGGCAACGTGGCCAGAAATAATGTACAAATGCCAAAACAAAACAAACAAAGCAATGCTATAATTAGAAGTCAAACTTAGGTTTGAAATAGACTTACAGTTTCCATACTAAGTGGAAACAGGAGAAACACATTATATCTACCTTGTTTAGATATGAACATATTCATATAGATAGAAAATACTAAGAATCCTGAATCATCGTCTATTTCCTTTGTTCAGGGGTTAATTTACCCAAGGGAGATAGCCGAAGAAGCCTTTTATCCTTATTATGTGATCCAAGTTATTCCCATAGCAGCAGTTCTGTCATGTTTTCCGCTTCTAACTTGTCAAAGGTCTTGGTCCTGTAGCACCACATGGTAGGTTAACTTTCATGGTGCCATTTTTTGGTGACCAACGGATCCCCATTTGGGGCACCTTCCTCTATGGAAATGATGTAAAGATTCACACGGTTAAAGTGGATAGAAACTTCGTTTTTGGGACCTTCACAAATTTTAGCCTCACCAACTACAAAATAATTTCTCATGATTTTTAGTTTGTAGAAGCACAACGATTTGTCAGACACAGGCTGTGGTGACTGGTGTGTGATATGATGTACATATCTGTAACCTGAGTTACCCGTATGACTTCCGCTCACATCCTATAAACTGATGTCAGCTGATAGCTGTGATGAAATTATGAATAGGAGCCTGAGAACTGCTGTGGAGCGGCGCGGGGAGCCGAGGAAGAACGATTAGAAAAATAAGAAGCGTGGAGATTATCACAAGTGATAGAGGAAATTATTGACAGTATGGTCACGTCGAATAAAACTCAGTCACGCCCATAGATGTATGAGTATAAACAGAAACACAGCCAGGGGGTGTGAGTGTTTTTTAATGCCTGAAATAACATACAAATTTACACCTGGATTTCATCACGTAGACACTCAGAACTCAGCAGGTATTCATCCTGTCAGCTGTCGTGTAAAGGCGGTTCCCTTTTGTTACCACACAGCTTTCCTTCTATGTTGCCTTCCTCACACAGGCATTTTGGTTTTGCCCATTGCTGTGCTTATCGGGCCATGGCTTCTCTGTGGCTGCATGTTGTAATCCAATTTAAAGGAGGTTGCTTGCAAGGACACTCTCGGCTTGGCTGTACCTTATCTAGGCAGTGGCAATAACTTTAATGGGGAGGAAACAGCTGCGTATTTGACTTATAGCTCTACTTAGAGTGATAAAGCTCTATTAAACATCCCAAATAGAGATGGTTATTTATTTTTTCATATTTTTTCCACTCTTGCTTTCGGATCCACATACCACGGAGCAGAATGGAACAGATGGGAAGATGTCAGCCCTCTATGGCCACAATAGACATTATGGGGAAAATGCCTTTTGGTGTCAGCTGCAAAAGAAGGAAGGAAGGCCATGAAAATGACTCACAGAAAGACAGACTCCCCATCCCCCACCCTTTGGTGTGCCTGTCTGCGTGTGTTTGCTTCAAGGTGCGCACAAGTGCATGAATAAGTGCACAAATGTAGGAGAACAAAGGAAAGATGAACCGCTCACACAGAAAATGTTTTGTATGTTAATGCGTCAGGGTTCGCTTGACACTGTAAATGACCTGTAACCCTAGGGTCCTTTCATAAAGCTAAAGCTTATTTATGTTTTTTACACATACATGTATGTATAGACTTTAGTATTAGGGCTGGTCATTTTTAGCTCTTTTCTTCATATAAGGAGCTACACTGTTGAATGAATGCTCTTTTCACCTGGGATACCTTTTTGCATGTTGCTCAAGGTCTCTGTGACCACTTGCTGGCTTTTTTCTAATGCCTGCAGGCCACGGGAACACACTCCGTAGAGACTAAAGATGTCTTTGTTGGTAAAACAGAAATGCAGAGTCACCATCTTCACTTAGAGTGAAAACACACACAGGCCTGCTTCAAATTTTGGTTGGACTGAAAGTATGAATTGTTACTTGCGTATTATTTACAAATCAGGGTGCATTTTTTGTTGCCAACCTTCCTATTTGAAATCTTGAAGAGGAAGGATGGCTGTATGTGTTGGCATTAGATTAATGATCAATTAAATATTTAGATTTGTTTAAATGTTAGGGCAAAGACATACAGAGCAGTGTTTGAGGCCACACAAGCCCTAGGAAACGGCAGTCACCACGGTGACTGAGTGACCCATTTTCATTCTGTCGTCTGTCTTTTTTAAATGAAAGATGGGGCTGGTTGTTGGGGGGAACTGTGTATCCCTTAGCAATGGCAGTGGGCCTTCAGGTACAAAGGATTTCTGTGAAGAATAAGGGTGAATATGAAAAAATGTGTTGGGAGGAAAATACTGAAAGGCATTAAATTAAAAGTCTTCTAAAGAATATAGATCTGTAAAGAGTTTCAGTTGATCAAGGAGACTTGAGAAAAACAAAATAGTTCCTTAGTTACTTAACCCATTCAGACCTGGTGTAATATATGCAAACTCTTACTGTCGAAGCCTGATGTGCAGTGTCATTTGCAGTTTTGAAACAGACAGCCTCCATGTATAAAAAGGCTAATTTAAACAAGCTTTGTGGTGAATTGGTGATGTTTTCTCATACACAGACAACAGACCATACCCACATGGATACCGAAAGTTAATTGCAGCAGGGAAATCCTTTTCAAACATGAGCAGTTTATGCAGTGCAATTAAGAATCCCAGAAAGGTTCCCCTTCCGATATACAAGGTCTTTCAGAGTCACAGTGTATTAATAGATAATCGAATGCTGAAGGATTAAACAGTTCAGCTATTCTGGCAAACCACTGAAGTTGTATTCATTGCGTGTGTTATAGATAGATCACAAAATGAAATAAAAAATTTGCTGACAAACATTTGGAAGACTAAAGAGGTAAAGAAAGGGATGTGGTTTAAATATCTAGGTATCGCTATGAATGGATTGGGTTGTTGTTGTCTACCAGCTGACCATAAACTCACCGTGAACAGTTCAATGACTGAGCTCTTTCTCAGTGACATTTCCTGAATTGGACTGTTAATTGGTTCTGAAATCCCTTCTTCTGTTAGGAGCAGTTACTCTTCCCTCCCTGTCCAAATGGCTTTGAGTTAGGAGCCCTATCTCAGTGAGACAAATTTTACCCACTGTATTGTTATCAGTACCAAGTTCCAAGCTATTTTATCTGCCAGTGATGTCACATTTCCCATGATAATCAAGGCAAAAGGGTGATTTAAACTTCCTCCCTCTTTCTCTCCATTTTCCATGGCCGCAGAGAACTAAAGCAATCAATGTCCCTGTTGTCATGGTAATCCATCAAATCAGAATTTTAAAAAATAAGTAATCGGGACCCCGAGTCATCAACAGAAATCATTCAAACGGTACAGCCTCCAAACCAGCCCAGAAAAATGTTTTTTTTTTTATGTCTTTCACAGAAAAGAACCTCAGAAGACCTGCTGCCGCATAGAAAGATTAAATATATTCAGGGCTAATGCAGCAGCCTGCTGCTGGAGCAGTACCACAGTAGAATGAACTCAGTTTGCATGGATATATATATATATATATATATAAGCATAGAAGATTTGAAACCGTTATCATAGTTATTCACAGCTAGCTCAAGTAATTGCAAACCATTTGCACAATCACTCTGACATATTTTTTCAGAGCTTGTCAGACATAAACATTTTACTAAGATAGTACAAACCCTAAATTATCCTATATTGTTGAACAAACCATGAAATAGGTTTCCTAAATTTCACTCACATCAAACTTTCTATGTGAGAAAACCACTGAACACTGTTTCTATACTGAATGGGAATTCCTATAAACCTAACTGTTCTCAACCAAAATGTCCTAGAAGCAGTGTATAATTTACCTGCTTATGATAAGTAAAGTAAACCAAATGGGAACAATATTTGATTTAACAAATGCCCTTCTAATCAAATACATTGAGTTTACCTTTGAGAATTTCCAGCTTACTCTCTATTCCTCTTTCCTGACAGTGTTTTCTCTCTGCTTGTATTCTAGTCAGGAATGCCCCAGACTGTGTGCTCAGGCACCATGTTTACCACTCCCAGTGTCTTCAGCCCTCATCTGGCCTGTGCTGAGCCTGGAGAGGAGGAGGCCCCACAGGAAGGCCCCGGGCCCGGTGCCTCACTGCCCGATGGGCCCCCAATCACCTCTGCCTCACTGGACACCCTCATTCAGAACCTGGTTCCCACCGCTGATTACTACCCCGAGGTAAAGTGAAAATTAGCACACCTACAGCCCTCTTCATTTCGGACAATCACCCTCACACAAGTCCATTTAAGTTCATAGTCCTGCTGACAGCACTGTCGATTAGATCATTAGCCCTGAGTCTCTGTTAGAAATGCTTTTTTCCTTTATTACAGACAGCAGCCCTATTTCTTATTGATGGGGGGGGAGTATGTCATTAAAAGTCTCCCTCTGTTCTCTGACAGAAAGCCTATGTATTTACCTTCTTGCTGAGCGCTCGTCTGTTCATTCCTCCGCCCGAGCTGCTGGCCAGGGTGTGCGAGCTGTGCATCAAACAGCAGCAGCTGGATCAGAGCCCACTCGATACGGTAAGCACTGCGCCACAGATAAACACGTACGCCTGCATGTGCACGGCCCAGCTAATGAAGTCAAGTGTCGGGAGCATTCAGGCATACTTGTATATTAATTCCCCTCCCCCCCTTACATTACACAGTTGTTTTGTTTTTCAGGCCTAAGTAGCGCTTTTACCTGAGATCCGTGAAACAGTTGTACACCTCTTTGATTTTTTGACTAACAGGCCAAAGTGCGCAAGTTTGGTCCCAAGATATTGCAGCTGCTGACAGAATGGACAGAAACGTTCCCATCTGACTTCAGGGATGACAAGATGGTTGGTCACCTTAAAGACATCATCCACAGGATAGCTCCATGTGATGAGGTACTTTCTTGACCTTTTACTTTAGCCACACAGTAGCAGATCAATCATAATAATCTAACAGATGCTGGAAGGATGTCAATCGGAAACTGTCGAAACGAGAATTGAAACAGAAACCTTCCATTCAAAGAGTTCAAATGGTCAACGAGTGGGTCATCTGGGGTTTGAATCGTAAAGTCAAGAAACTCTGTATGTTGGGAGTGTAAACAGATGACATAAGTCCAATATGGTGAGGAATAATGATGAGTCACATGATTCGATTATCATCCCTTCCCCTGTTGTGGAAGATGGAGTCACAGTGTCAATGTCAGAGGAGTAACCACAGCCCAGCTGCTAAACAATCTTACTTAACAGAAGAGAAGAGCAGAGAGGAAGGAAGGATTTCAGAGGAGTGGCTCAAACTGCAATCTCAAGAGAAAATAGAGGGAGGGAGATGGATGGAGAAAACGGGTGGGGAAGGGGGGCTGGGACACATGGCCACAGAGTGCAGGAGAAAGGATAAGGGAGGAGGTGTGTGATGAAGTCAGTGGAAAACTAGGAAAAATGGAGGGAGGTGGAAGGAGGACAGAGAGAGGAAGGGCAGGTGGTGATGAATGTGCTGCTATTTGCAGCTGCCTGCTTTAGTATGGGTGTGCACTTACAAGTGGGAGCTGTTGCTCTGGGTCATTTATGAAGCAGACTGACCTGATGGCCTGTGTGCACGCTCATCTGGAGGGAGGGGCATGGAGACAAACATTCTCGGAAACGGCACGGCTTATTGTTGCTGCACCCTTAAATATATTCGATTTTACAGTAAATGTTTGTTGTTTTTTTATTTCTCAGATGTCTGTATTTTGACCTTTTCCTAAAATTACAGACTTGCTTAGAAATGCTTTGAAATGCAATGTTTTTCACCAAATAGCCACCACACTGATACAGTTAATCATTTCAGGATATATATATACATAAACAGGATATGAATGAATTAGTGCAAGGTCATCTAAATTAGGTTTGCAGATGAGTGTGCTTGCCCCATAAAAAGATAGCTAAATGTTAGGGATATAAAACCATTTCCATTCACATAAGGTTATTCCCCAAAATAATTAAGAAAGGTAATTGAATAATTTTGTCTAAGATGCGCACAAACTGAAATCAACCTTAGAAAACATAAAACAGAACCAAGGTTGTTTTAAGCAGAACCAGATAGCTACATATGTCATGCCAACAGTCCAGCACCAGATGCATTGAAAACCTGAGGGGAAATGTAAGTGAAGTAACAAATCTCTTCATGCCAATTATATCCAGTGAGCAGTTGTAAATCTACTACGTTTAAAATGGTTTAAAATTACTCACACACACACATGCACACACACATGTGTGTGTGTGTACATTGACAGCTAGGCTTTTGTACAAAGTAGTACAAAAAGTTCCCATTAAAAAGGTCATTTTGGTTCTAACGTGACATGCCTGGATTAAAGGCACAAAGAGCTCTGTCTGTTTTAGCAGCAATTGGAGTGCTCACAGCCTGGCAACCCAAATTTCCTTTGGATTGATGTCTATCACCAATCAACAAGCCATCTGTAAATTATTCATCAAAGACGCTGTTGATAGCTTTCCTCTCCTTCCCAGGCATACTGGAAAACCTTGAACCAGCTGCTGCAGAAGCTTAGCCAGAGGCTGGCCCTCATAAGCCAGGGGGAAGAGAGCATCGTTAAGGTCTCCCTCAATGCTTCCTCCATCTCTGACAAGCTGGCGGCCTTCAAGACCAAGCCCCCGCCCATTCAGAAGGACATCCTCTCCATCTGCAACGACCCCTACACACTGGCACAGCAGCTCACCCATGTGGAGCTGGTGAGGCTCGGGGGGGAGGGACAAGAGTCACGTCAGGGTTAGACAGAGGTCAGGACAAGAGATGATAACAAGGATAGACGAGGACAGTAAGAAAAGGATGTCGGAAGAGCACTGAAGCACTAAGGATGCAGAGGCACAGTTGAAATTTCATAAAAGATATATAGAAATGAGACATCAGAAAATGGGATGGACTGGATAAAAAGAAAAACAGGTTTGATAGATATAAGGAGAGACTAATATTTTAGTAGCTATTTAACTTTACGTTCAAATATTAGGAGGAAACAAATGGATAGAATAAATCCAACATTCACAAACAAAGGGTCTGTGCATTGTACCTCATAATGCTTGCACGTTGTTTTTTCCAGTTCTTATGTATCCAGTTGTAAGCACGTGTACGTGGGGGTGGTTGTGTTTCTGTGCGTGCATTTGTGAGTGTGCCTGAGTAAGCCTGAACCCTTGTCTGAGCGGTGACATCACTCCAGAAGTCAGCGGTGTGCCTGGGGCTGCAAACAAAGGGCATAAAACTGCTGCAGATATATGTGACCTGACAGCTTCACACTCAAACACACACACACACACTCAGACTCAAAAGGAGACACAGGCAAAAGATAGACACACATGGGCAGTTCACACACTCTAAAATCGGCTAGCATGGCGCTGCTTGTTTCTAAGTGTGTTTTTGAGTTAGTTTTCATTTATATCTGGAGATGTGATGGGTCTGATGAGTCACTTGGATTTCCGCATGTTACAGTGCAGCTGTCTTTTAATAGAGCATTGTTTAAAGTGTCACTTTGAGGAAATATGATACCAGTGAGTCACGTCAATGAGTCATTACTTCCTTGTATTGATTGGTTTCCATTACTGAAATGAAAGAGATATTAATGGCACTCCCTCAGTTGTGTGTGTGTATATGTGCATGGATGGGTGTGCATGTGATGTACTTGAAGCACTTATATTGTACGGACATAAATACGTTTATGTAGTCACAGTCTAAAGACATGCCTTGTAGCAGCAATAAGAAAATCCCCTTTATGTAACTATATCATTTTTTAAACAGTTTTATGTTCCAAAGGAAATCATTAACGCATGTCTGTTTTACAGGAACATTTAAGGCATATTGGACCAGAGGAGTTTGTTCAAGCCTTTGTTCAGAAAGACCCACTAGATGGAACACAGGTAAACCTATTTTTTGTACAATAGCTAATTAAATCGTTTTTCTGTTTCAGTATTGTTTCAGACATGTTGCTTATGCCCCTAAGGTTCAGTGTTGTGATGCAATTCAAACCCACCTGAATATTGCTCTCATACTAATTTTACATGTTATTCTAAAAAATGACCTATTTTTGCGCTCTGAAACCCACTACTCTTTATACATAGTACCTAATATATTGCAGTACATATGATATATATTATCAGATGTTACAAAGGCATCATTGCTATTTCTGGACCTAAAACAAAAAAAAACAACTCTTTATAACATCATCAGTTATAATTCAAAATGAAATTTGATATCCCTGACCATGGATAGAAGATGATGATGCTAGAAAGGAATAGCACCCAAATATACCTGTTGACAAGGAATGGCACAGTGGATGTCTGATTTGTTAGGTTTAAACCAGTGAGATTTGAATTGCAGATTAGTTTGATTTGGAATTTAACTGCTAAAGGACTTATCACCCTATAGAATTGAAAGGAGGACTAAATGTCCAGTGTGCTGCACAATGTACTGTGTGCTCGGAGGCAAATGAAAAATGAATTCACTTGAAACGGCTGAATTCCTCCTCTCCTAAATTTCAACTTTCCAGATATCATGAGCGAAAATCAGCCATCGGTCCTGTGGCCTAACAGTTCTGCTTTAAATGTGCAGAGCTCTACCAAAGATTCCGAAAGGTGAGGTGGCACAGCCACAGACAATTTGGAGGAACCAGACCCGGGCAGTCCTGGCTAATTGCAGGGTGGGGCTGTGTAATTGATTTGCATATGTTGTGAGGAACAAACGAAAAGTTTGGAGTGTCTTTGCATTGCAAAAGGAGAAATTGAGCAAGGAGCAGCAGCAAGGGAGCACCATTCTCCTAGATTATTGAAAGCATGGAAAGTGAATACATTATCTTTACAACACTACCAAGTGAATACTGTCCTTTTTATGTATTAATTGCTGTTTGGTTCAAACCTATATGATGGATTTTTTTAGACGTGTCTCTATTCAACAGTCATAACAAAATGGATATGCAAATGTATGGCTGGAGTACACCAATATTAGAATATCTCTTCGCCTAGCAGAGATAGGGCTGGCATCAAGTTCAGACGGTTGGAGATATGGTTGAGGCTAGATTAGCATATTCAAAGATCCTCATTCACTGAATGAGGAAGAGGATGTGGAAACATATTCTGTGCATTTTAAAGGCCTGAGTGCTCATTTCATGGTACGAACTTTGGAAAGTATAATAATTCAGAGGAAATATGGAATTTCTAACAGATGGACTTCCTGCATGAAACTTCCAATTATGTTATTTACTTCTGATCAGGGTCTCCAACCCTTATTAATACCTCATCCAATCAAAGCTCTACCTATAGGAAATTAAACAACAAAACAAAAAGAAGAAAACATCTCAACCAAACATAGAAAAGCCTTTTTTTGTTGTAGTCTTATCTCCAACATCTGATCAGAATTCACTTCTAAAAGGGCCATAAGGCATAAAAACGTTTGAATATCCCCCTTTATACATCTGCCCTCTTTTTTGTTTTAGTTTTTTTTTGTTCTACTCTTATTCTAACACTTGTTAAGGTTGGTTTTCATATTTAATGGCTATTCTAACTCTTCTTGTCTCTGTCTATACTTTGAAAGTTATTTTCTTGCTCTCAATTAGCCCTACTGTTTCTACCCCAAGCTTCCCTTTTTTGTCATTTAAACTCTCATCAGGGTTCAGCTTGGACATAAGAGTCTAATTAATGTCAGTCGAATTTCCTTCGGTTGTACGTTCTACTCTCACCTCTCATGTGTGTTTCAACAGCCCTGTTTTGGTGACCAGAAGAAGAAGACCTCCAACCTGGAGGCTTATGTCAGGTGGTTCAACAGACTGTGTTACCTGGTTGCAACAGAGATCTGCATGGTGAGTGAAAAGTGCCGGACACAGGTGACCCATTTACGCTGACCCTGGCTTGTACAGGCAAACAACCGCACACACAATTCACTGCAGATCGGAATTCCTTTTCATTATGAAGCACACATGATGTGAAAAACATTTTCAGAGATTTGCTCGAGAGTGCATTTAGAGGAACACATTACTGTATTGCTGCTCGTTAAATATGGTTGTGTGTGTTTTACGGCTTTTTTTATCCCTGAGTTCAGAAATGATGACTCTCTACCCCCACCGTCCTTCAGTAATGCAAGATAGTTGAATGAATGAAACGTATTTTAGAATAGTTCCAAATTTGGGGCCTTAGTTGGAGCCATTTTAGATGCTGCAGAGCATTGCTGCCCCCTTGTGGAGGCCTCATGCTACTATAACCAGGCCGTCAATGTTGGAGTACTCAGTACTACAAAGAAAACTGATATTCCCAGAAGAGGAAAATTGACTGTTTTCATCAGCAGAGAATGTCTTGTCTCCTTTCAGCCGGCAAAGAAGAAGCAAAGGGCTCAAGTTATAGAGTTTTTCATCGACGTGGCAAGGGAGTGTTTCAACATCGGAAACTTTAACTCCCTCATGGCCATCATCTGTGAGTTTCACTTTTAAATATCTTAGCACATTACTGATTGATAGTTCCAGTGCCTCCCTCGGTATTAGATATTAATGTTCCCCTTTTCTCCCTTTAGCTGGAATGAACATGAGTCCTGTGTCACGACTGAAGAAGACTTGGGGCAAAGCAAAGACTGCCAAGTACTTCATTCTTGAGGTAAACTCAGCTGCTGCGTTTCACTGAGACGTTAGATGGGCAACAGCTCAGAGCTGACTGTCTTATTGTTGCTGTTTGCTTTGACAGCATCAGATGGATCCCACTGGAAACTTTTACAACTATCGGACAGCACTGAGGGGGGCTGCCCACCGCTCTCGGACAGCCAACAGCAACAGAGAAAAGGTGAAACCTCATCATCATGTTTATTGTTCTTGTTGTTGTTTATTGCTGTTGTTTACTAAAGCAAGTTGGCTTCCATTCAGTAGGTACAAACAAACATTGTCCCAACTTTTGTCGATATTTTTACTGGTTTATTTTCTCTTCTCATTAAGGTGGTCCTTAAGGTCCAACTTTTGATGTCTGTTAAATAAAGGAGAATCACATAAAGAAATTATAGAATTTTTTTTCTGTCTTTTAGAAGACTTTCCAACTTTTATGTAAATTCGGTGACTACATTATGAAGTATCTTGTTTTCTGTCTCCCTCAGATTGTGATTCCCTTCTTCAGCCTCCTGATAAAAGACATATATTTCCTGAATGAAGGCTGTGCCAATCGCCTCCCTAACGGTCACGTCAACTTTGAGGTGGCTGTTCTCTTCTCTCTCTTCTAACCTCGCATTGTTAATGAATGACCTCAGCTGACCCCCTGATAGTCACTCAGCATTCACTCAATATGTGTCTGACGATATTTCATTGCTCTGTTTTCTTTTTGGTCTCTTTCAGAAATTTGTGGAGTTGGCACGACAAGTTGGAGAATTCATGACATGGAAACGGGTGGAGTGTCCATTCGAAGAGGATCAGGCCATCCTACACTACCTCCATACTGCTCACATCTTCAGTGAGGATGGTGAGAGCTGTTTTATTACAGCTGTTAAAAGAATTGTGCGTGAGCATGGCCTTCTGAAACGGTTACTAAGTGTTTTTTGCATACATTTCTACTGTTTGCTGTACCTGAGTAATTTCATGGTCCGTGAATATTGCCTGGATTATTATGACTTTTGGTGTAAACATTCATGTTGAGTCATTCTAGTGTTCTTGTTACTTTAAATCGTAACTAATAATGAGAACCCTGGTAACATATTATGCTTCCATTCATGTTCCAGTCTCTTTTTTTACTCTGTCATTTGGTTGAATAGCTAAAAAAAAAATCTCCAATTGACCTCAGCTGTGCTTTGTCTTTAGTGCTCCTAATATTGATATTAACATACTAATATTAAAATGAGTCAACACTACATTGTCATTCTCTTCTTATTTAATTCTCTTTCAGGTCTTTATCTCGCATCCTATGAAAGTGAGAGTCCAGAGAACCAGGTAGAGAAGGACAGATGGAAAGCACTCAGGTGAGAAAATATTGAAGGGCAAATGTTGCTGAGTATGAAAATAAACAGAACTTAAAGTAACAAAACCTGCACCCATCTTCTCACCTCAGGTCCAACGTCCTGGGAAAGACATGAGGCTCTGGTGCCTAACCCTCCTGCCAACAAGCGTGTGTTCTCTTTGCACTAAACTGAACTGTGAAGGAACCTGAAGCTGGTACTTGGGTGTCTCTCTAAAAAAAAAATGTGTAGGGAATAAAACATACAAGCAAGCTAAATTAAATAGACAAATTCATAAATAAAACCAGGAAAAGATGAACAGGATTCATCCAAGAAGATTGTGAAAAGCTTATAAGAAAAGGTAAGCCGAATACTAAGCTAACAAAACTGGAGCAAAAGGTTACTTCAGGATATAAGTGGAGAAGTTTGGTATCTTGAAGAAGGACGCGGCCTCTCCATCCTCCTCCCCTTCATGTGTGTTTACTCTGTGAAGATGTTTACTATTTTAGAGGGTGAAATTACAGGGAAAACCACTTCATGATTTGAAATTCCGACTGATGCTGTTAAATGTACATTCTCCACTCTCCCTTCCTTTCCCCTCTGTCGTTCAAAGCCTTGTGCGGGCTTTTCTTTAACTTGTAAAGTACTGTAATGAAACATAAGATAAGCCAAAGGGCGCTGGCTAGCCCTTGTCATTTGTTGAATTTTATAGGTCTGCTGAAGGAGTGGCAACTACGTGTATCTGGGAAGACAAAGAGACAGCCTATGTGCATATGTGTGTGTGTGTGTGTGTGTGAGAGAGAGAGAGAGAGAGAGTGTGAGAGAGAGATGCAGCTGTTTTTCCATCAATGTGTGTTTATACAGTCGCTTCCTTGTGTAACACAGTAGCGACTGGATGTGTCTGTGGTCCATTTTTACCTGTATTTTTATTTATAGTGCTTTGTTTTGGGGAGAGGAAAAGCCTGGGGTACATGAACTGTTTCAACTTGTTTACTCCTTTAAATGTATTGTGCCATTAATGCAAAACAACTACAGTAACAGCATAAGCGACACAGCAAAATCTAGGTCAAGTGTAGATTGTGTACAGGCGATATTTACCCCTCATCTTTCTGCTCCTCAGGAAGTTTCCTCTGACTGACGTTCAGTTGTCTGATATATTTATGGACATTTCTGTGCCGACAGATGTACATTTTTATTGTAACTTTCCTCTGATTATGAAGTCAAATGGCATGCCATGAAAGGTGTTTTTAAAGGGGCATTAATGCATCACTTTGTAATGACAGCAACTGCAACACGAACTTCATAGTGATGACGTGCCATTGCATTTTGGGGAAGGACAACGAGTCATTTGTGACCTTTGTCTCATTATAAAGTAAAAACGGAAACTTGTGCCATAAGCGTCCCCGGCTGCCATTACGATTCAGCTTTCTTTGACTTGAAATGTGTTGTTTAGACGTTTTGTGGGACCGTCAAAGAGCTGGGTTTTGGGGAGTTGTGTTGTGATTCTGGCGGGTGGGTGGGGAGGATCAGAGCGGGAACTATGTAATTAAAAGTTTCTTTGAAATGTTCAGTTTGCTATTATTGATTGATGTCAGTGTTTTCTCTTAAAGAGGCACCTTTCCCTTATTATAACAGATTGACTTTTCCGCTCCCTCTTCAGTTGTGATCAGTACACTTGCTTTCACTGTAACCCAATCCCTGGATACGGTTATAGAGACAGATGTGATGTCAAATTTGCCAATCAAGGTGAAGATGTGTTTTAATAAAACGTTGCCTGTGCCGATGAACGTGCGTTCTCAATGACAATCGTCTTCGTACCATCAATCTCTCTGATTCGAACTATTCTAACTCTTTTTATTAAGTTTTCTGCCTGACATACATACTTTTTGCTTTTAAGAGTGGATTACATAGTCTGTATCCTTGGTGTGTGGCACCAAGCTCACATGCACCTTTGGCTTTGACATCACACAGAAAGATTAGTGACCGGTTCCTACAAAGCTTTTAATAAAGACAAACCATGCTTATTCTCACTGTCTCCAGATCTTTCTTTTTTTTGCCTTTCAAACCTTTCTGTAAACAAGATTATTGCTTCTTCTCAGCAACTTTTTCAGTTTTAATTTGAAATAAAATATTTTCACCTTTCTATCATCAAGGCAGTAGCAGCTTACCTGATCAACACAAGATCAAGTTTACTATGAACAATCTGTTCAGAATGGCAGTGCAATTTATTTTCTTTTTGGGTACAAGCTGATTAAGGAAAGGAGAGAAGAACCAAACCAAAAGTACTCCCAAAAGTTTTGAATTATTGTGCAGCTTTCCACCAACATGATAAACTGTTGCAAAATGCTGTGCAGCAACTACAAATGAGAGGTGTGTTGTTGAAACATTTCCAGGTAACTTCACTGAGAAAGTTAAAAGGAGACTTTATTTACCAGCTGCGATACTTGTAAAAGGAGATATATGCAACATTGACAATTTAGGTGGTTTTCTTTCATATGTTGATACAGTACCTAAGACATTTCTTAAAACAGAAAGTCTGGCCAACATCCCTTACAAAATCATGTCAATAATAATGTATTTATTTGATACAGACACATTTATTTAACTTTGATAATTGGCTGAAAAGCTCAGTACTTGGACAATGCAGAAAAACCATTCATCTGAGAACTCATGCAATGGTTAATCATCACATATACGCCAACATGATAGAACAGCTTTATTTTCAGTTCAGTACACTTCAGTCTTGCAGCTGTTCCTTACTCCGGCCAAAGGTTATCTCTGCCAGTTTGGCATAAGATTCAAAGTCCCTGGAGCCCAGGTATGTGCCAAAGAAGGCCTGGAGCAAAATAACTGCCCTCATTTTGTTAAAGACCGGTCTGGAGATGTCCACGCAGTAGCGCAGCAGGTTTCCGTTCTCCGGCAGGGGTGCTGACGCGTACCTGGATGCTAGGCCAATGTTCAGAGGTAAGGCCAGGAGGATGGGGTACAGCCCCCCACCCACCACGCCAACGAGGGCGCCGCGAATTAGCGAACACGTGGGGCAGTTCAATTCACCGGACAGCAGCGGTTTAGAGACCGTTGCATTGTACAGGGCACAGGTGGTCAGAAAGGGCAGCACGGCCATCGGCAGGTTGGAGGCGAAGCGCGCCGCCCTGACGTTGAGCGTCCGGCGATAGAAGCTGTTGGAAATCAGCCCCGCAAGTCCGGCGTTTCCCCCGAGATAAAAAGGTCCATACAGGAAAAGTTTTTGGTCAATGTCAGGCAGTTTCTCGAAATTCTTCGTCAACATGTCGGCAATGACTGCCCGTGAGAGCGCTTTTCCGGAGCCGCCCTTCTCCACGACGTTTTCTGACATTTTCAGCCGTGGTGCTTCAACAGCTGCGTTTCGACGCCAAAAATCCTTAGCTAAAGTCACTCACAAAACTGCAGTAAGGTGGCTATCAGGGCGCAGACATTTCCTACCCACAATTCAAAGCGATGATGCATATGATGTCACAGCCCTGTGAGACAGACCTGTCATTCAAAACGAGAAAAACCTGAAGGTATTTACTGGAAAACGAACATGTTATGTAAAACCTGTATGTTAGGTTGATTGGACATTGTGTGATCCTGCTATGTTCTGGTGTACCCTGCCTCTCGCCCACTAAATACTGGGTCAGGCTCCCTGCGAACGCATTTGGGAATAAGCAGTTACGAAAATGGATAGATGGATATTTATTAGTTTAGTATCTATACACTAATAGTTTATATTTATTTTTTACCTTGGTTCCACCCATATATGTTAATAGTATTACGTTCATTTATTATTTCAGAAAATAGAGTGGAATTAATCCATGTTTATACACAATGAAGTGTTTATGAGTGACTATTCGTTAGTCACTCAATGACTAAGAGCTGTATTACTGTAGACTCTACAGTAATACAGCTCTTAGTCATTGAGTGACTAACGAGTGTAGAGCAATATTACTTATTGCTATTCAGCATCACCGTAATTGATTGGCTAGAGAAACTAATCTTACCAAGAAAAAATTATGTTCTGTATCTATCTTGAAAACTAAAGCGCTGCTGCAGTAACTTCACTCAGAACAACAAATCCCGAAAGTCATTGCAGTAGGCAGGCTTTGTTTGAGTTGCGTCATCAAATTTGCTCTAGAATGTTCTACGGTGTTCTTCGGAAGGTCGCCATCTTTGAGAACGACATCGCGGAGGCATTTTGCTGATTTCTTTGTACTTAATCTTCAAACCGACGAAAATTCTTCGCATTCGAAGCGTACAACTGCTGACCAAGGTAATACGTTCTCTAAATGCTTTTTGGGGGGGTATATTTACTCATTTTTATAGTTTTAAGGCGTGCTTGTTTTCTTTCACGAAATTCGACGACTCGTCAACATGGATACCGCAAAATAAAAAGTAATCGTTGCTACATGTTTTTTTGTGACTACAAGTGTCTTTAATCGTCCAAATAATTGCACAATTTTTAAAACGATGGAGATTACGCCCCACAGCTCAAACATTATGTTGTCACTTTTCCTGCCTAAGTAGCTGTTCCGTAACAGCATTGTCCCAAAAAAAGGGCCTTAGGCCGTAATTTGTCGATCAAATAACTAAAGAAGAGTGCATTCTTACTCACTTCCAGAAACGTTAATATTTTTTCTATGATAAACACATATTTTTTAGTTTGTTGTTGCGTTTTCCTTTGGTGTTTACAAGTAGTCGAACACTGTGGTTGATGAGCACTTTAGCCAAGCTTTTCAAGGCCTTCTATCCTAGTTCTAGTCGTTGAAGCTTAGCCGGATTAGTGCTAACGTTGGATAAACCCATACACCCATGTCATTCATGAACTGGTTTTCAAGATAATTTGAAATGGAAATTTTTGCGTTAATTTTACGTAGCAGCCGCACTTTGATTTTTATTTGTTGGATTGCTATTTCAATTATTTGCAATGCATTAAAAAGCATTAAAGCAAGAGTTTGGTGACGGTCATGATTAACCCATTGCCCAATTACCAGGGTAATCTGATATTGAGCTATGAGCGTTACAAGTCCTTTATGTAAGTTTTTGGTGCCAGTGTACACTGTTCATTTTAAATACAGAAAATGTTATTGAGCTCATTTCAGAAGAGACGGCTTTAACCTTGATGCACACAATCTACTCCTCCATTTTAAATGGCCACTTCCCCTATCAATGGATTGGTTGTTTCATAATGTGGGAGGAGAATTCTGAGAAAAATTCTTCTTCTTCCTATAACCATTTCATAGCTGTAGAAAAGTGGTTATTGTCATAAAATTGAATCTCCAGGATTTAAATTCAGTGGTGTTCTAACCTTTTGAATGATTTTCTCCCATCTCTTCCAGATGCGTCACTCTAAGCGAATGCGCTCACCAGGTGTATGGATTGATGAATACAGCTGGGAAGAAAGAATGGAGTGTCGTAAACGCAAGAAACGAGATTCAAACAGCAGTGAAAGAGAGAATAAATCTAGAAAAACTCATCATCACCACAAGATGTTTGAGGGGTAAATATCGGTGTTTGACCTCCAAATGGTGCAATATCTTTATTTTTTAGGAAATAGTTCCATGATTGACAAGCAGAGAAACTTTTTTTCCCCATGTAGCATCCTAAATGCTACAAAAATTACATTTAGAGCACAAGTTGTAATTATTTGATTAGTTATTCATGATATACATACAAATTTGTTTGGAAAAAGTGTTTTATGATCTGTAGTATTGCAACCCAAACAACAGCAAAAGATAGCCTTTATCTATATTTTCAGTAATAGTATTATTATTAAAAGTGTTAATATTGTTATCATACATGTATTCATAGTCCTGGGAAGGAAATATTAGAACCTGAGAGAAGTTCAAGGGATGATCAGGTAGCCTGATAATGTTTTATCATATTTGGGACAGATACTTTACCGTGCTAATTTTAAACTTGTAAATAGTTAGAGCCAACAGTTGCATGAGGAGTCATTTTCATGCTTTATGTGCAAAACGGTCAGGAGAAAACGCTGGATATCTTTGTTTAACATGTCCTTCACACCTAAGTTGTTCACTAGCCTCTGAAAGTATGTTGTTCTCCAATTGTTCGCAATAGTAATTTTAAATAATGGAATACAGATGCACCATTTTCTGTTAAACTTTTTTAATAATGAACTCTACTACCTGAAGGTAATATATAGTATGATAAAATGCAAACATTTTAAGGGTGAACCTGACAAGATTGTTACAAGATCATTTTTTAATATAATCTAATTTAATTTGATTTTAAGTCATGCCATAGGAAAAAAAGTGTCTTTCACAACATTCTCTGTGGTTCTCTTATCTAAAGTGCATTCTTCATAGTACCTCACAAAATGAAATCTGAATACCAATAATCGAATTTGGTTGAAGTTGATTATCAGCTGTCTGAAAAATATATATGGTATGTTATACATTACTTATACCTTCACTTAGAGAATTTGTATTCATATTTGTGGGGGTAAGCTGAAACACAGTACAACTAAAATAGCAACAGATTAACTTCAGAATGAAAAGATATGGGCATAAATTGTTTCTAATGGAACTGCTGGATTTGTGTGCTGCAGTTCTTTTTGTGGACATGCATATGAATGATGGTCCATGGGGGTATATTAGATGTTTGCAGATCTACTCTAATTTTAATTCTGTTGAGAGGCAGACTCCTTGGAAGACAGCTGATACCACCTGGGTGCAAATGGCTCTTGGAGTTTCTTAGTCATTTTTAGACGCTAATGTGATGTGCTGGGTAGGTGTTTGCTCCAAGTGAGTGGAAACACTGTTATACTAAATGTTTAAATGTTTTAGATGAGGGAAATTATATGTGAAAGTCAAAGATTTTTTGTTTTTTTTTGCACACGATCAGATTTGTAATGAGCCAGATCCCAAACTGGGATGCATCACAGATTATGTTTCATGACGCCCACTTTTATGCTCAGCATTTCAACTCTGCCAATGTCGCTCTGCTTCAAGGTGATTTCTTTATAAGGAGAGGGAAAGTTTGAGTTGCTAAGGAGAATGCTTTATAGATATTATCTTTATATTTTGGCTTCTGTACACCAGTAACATGATTTCTACAGTGATAATGTGTCATAAATTAACTTGATCTGCTGCCTCTTATTAAAAAGGATTTGGTATATTTGGTTGCGATAAATTCATATGTTGCTAATAACATGTTATGTAAAAGGCTCGTGGATAGAGTGTCAGGCAAATAGGTCATAGGTGCTCTCCACCCACTTGTCATTTAGTGCTTGAGTGCAACAGTTAAGAACCTGGGCTGTGCTTATCTTGGCTTTTTTTTTTTTTTAATTGAATTTTTTTCATTTTTAAATCTTTTTTTCTTTTTTTTTTTTCAGGCATTACCTGGAGGCTCGCAGTCTTAACCAGAGGCTGGATTCTCAGGAAGAGCACACTCGAGACTATTGTGTGACCATGGTGTGTGATGACAACAGTCGTGATGATACATGCAAGGACAGAGATCTTGACTGGCACCACTACAGCAAGTCGTCTGGACGTAGTGGGCACAGTGGACATAGCAGTCGCAGACAGAGAGACAGAAGGCGCAGGCGTAGCTACTCTCGCCACAGGTCCTCCTCGGTATGGGCACCTTCTTATACCTCTCCCTTGTTTTTATCACCAAATTGAATGGGTCATTATCACTGGTGTTTAGCCAATGCTAAACGGCCATCTTTTTCTTTTATATGTTTGTTGTAGTCTTCAATATTAATCTTAATTTCCAGTAATGACAAGTAGGGTAATGTGGGGCTACTGTGTGGGTCTTTAGTTATGGACCCAATATTTTTGACAAGATGATAGTGGGTATTATGGGACATGATAGTAAACAATTAAACACTGTAGGAAGAATGACAAGGAACTTGATGTAACAAGTATAATCAGTCAAGTTGAGTTTTTTTCTGTACTACTCTGAGAAAGTCTCTCATCTGAAAATCTTGTTGCCATGTTTTTCTTCTGTAACACACACCATGTGGTGGCTGGCGCCCAATTTCTGGCGGGGCTGAATTTGCATTTGCTGCTCCGTCCATTCGCCTGGTGGTGTTACTGAACGGGCTGAATCTATCCACCCCTACACCTCCCCCTTGGACTGGTTGAATGAATGACGATGTCGCGTTATGGTGGCCGGGTGCTGGCTGATGGGTTATTGATGTGATGGCGGATTGCGGCGGTTCCGGTGCAGAGGAGGAGCCATCACCGCAGGAAAAGATCCAGGAGTGTTGAGGATGATGACGAGGGTCACCTCATCTATCACAGTGGAGACATGCTGAGAGCGAGATGTATAGAATATATACCTTTTTTTTTTCCTACTGTTGTTCACACTTTGTCTCTCACTCTCGTTGTCTGGTTATTTCCAAACATTAATTTAGAGGCTGAGATATTTGGGCTAGTAAACTTAAAGTCTTTATTTATTTTTTGTGGATAGCTATTATATGTCAGTGTAAAATATGTCAGAAACTTGTTTTTGCTAGTGTAGTTAAAAAGCAATGTAACATGCAATGATCCAGCTAAAGGCCAGAGTTCCGCTTTCAGTGCTGGTTGCCTAACTTCAACTTTCTATTTTCTGTAGATGAGATTGTGTGCACTCTTGGAGAGGGCGCCTTTGGGAAAGTTGTCGAGTGCATTGATCACTCAAAGTAAGTTAAAAAGCTAAGTCATGTAATTAGTTGCTGATCTGTTTTACATCTTTTAATATTAAAAATGTAATCTTTTATATTACCATGTGTTTCAGTGAAGGGGCTCGAGTAGCTCTGAAGATCATAAAAAATATAGACCGCTACCGAGAGGCAGCTTTGTCTGAGGTTGAGGTGCTTAAACAGTTGAATTCCCTTGATGCTTCCAGGAAATAGTAAGTGAGAATGTATCCTGCACACACCAAATGCAAAATAGTTGACTTTGCAAACGGTTTAACTTGATGTCCTCTCTCCTCTTTCCTTTTTCAGTGCATGCGTACGGATGCTGGACTGGTTTGACTACCATGGCCACATTTGTATTTCATTTGAGCTGCTTGGGCTCAGCACTTATGATTTCCTCAAGGAAAACAACTTCCAGCCTTTCCCAATTGAACAAATCAGGCACATGGCTTATCAGATCATTCGAGCTGTGAAATGTATGTAGAAAACACACACTGGTTTGTGCACGTTAGACACAAACAAAAATTGCACTGATTCAAATGTTATGTCTTTTTATCTTTCAGTTTTGCATAAGAACAAGTTGACTCACACAGACTTGAAGCCTGAAAATATTCTCTTCATAGATTCAGACTATGACATGGAGTATAATCGTGAAAAGGTACTTTAAAGTTACACCAGCTGAAGTCATTAAAGGAATTAACATGAATTCTGATAGCAGCTTTGAGACATTTCTGATTGACTGTTCTTTATCCTCAGAGACGAGACGAACGGACACTGAGAAACCCAGATGTGATCATTGTAGACTTTGGTAACGCCACTTATGATCATGAGCATCATACTTCTGTTGTTTCAACTCGTCATTATCGCGCTCCTGAAGTTATTTTAGGTAGGCAGTTGTCTAATGGAACAGCACTGAAATATTCAGTGAGATCCTTCAGTATTGATTTATATACTCGTTTTTCAGACTTGGGCTGGAACCATTCCTGTGATGTCTGGAGTATTGGCTGTATCCTCATTGAATATTACCTCGGGACTACACTCTTCCAGGTAAGTGGAATCAAAAAACAAAAAATTTCCCTAGGATTTATTACTGCACTTTGTTTAATTTACCTTTTTTTTTTTTATCTCATTCAGACACATGACAGTAAAGAACATCTTGCTATGATGGAGAGGGTCTTGGGCCCCATCCCCACAAACCTCCTGGAGAAAACAAAGTAAGAGTTGTCATGAAAGGATGACTGCTGAACATGGTGGAATATAGCACCCAATGTAGCCTTCACTTAACTAAGACTCATCTGATATGCTGCTTTCAAAGATTAGAATGTACATTTGAATGACATTTGAAAAATGTTAACCCCTTTTAGTAATTTAGTTAATTTATTATTCAGCATAAGATGGAAATATAAAAGTTGATTGAATTAAAAAAATAAAAATGCTTGTTTTTGTAGGAAACGACGCTATGTTCACCGAAACAAGCTGGACTGGGATGCTCACGGCTCTGCTGGGAGATATGTCAGGAAACACTGCAGACCTCTCAAGGTAAAATGTTGTGTACAGTGTATTTTAACATAGAACATCAGTAGTCGGATATGTTCACAAAGTTGCTTTCAGAAAAAACACCAATCCTACAAGAAGCCCTAAAACCTCGTAGCTAAAGCTACACATTTTTGTTAACTCCAATAGAGCCAAACGCTCAGGAACATGTCTGATGACTATTGAGATATATTTTTAGAATTCTAATTGAACTGTTGTTTTTTCTCCCTGTTTTGTATGCATTTAAAAGAGTGTATCAAACAAGCTAAATTAGTCTAAAGAGTGACTTGAATTTTTCTGTCCTTCCCCTATCAGCATTACATGGTGTCAAAGGATGATGACCACCGGCAGCTTTTTGACCTGATAGAGAAGATGATGGAGTACGACCCGGCCAAACGCTTCAGCCTGGAGCAGGCCCTTCACCACCCGTTCTTTGACTGCTATAACAAGAGCAGCAAAAGCAGGAGCAGCAGCAACTGTAGTGGTGATAGCAAATAAGGCTGAACTCTGAACATGAAAACATCAAGGTTTGCCTGTCACCATGATGTTTGTCAGTGCTCTGTACCAGGTTGTACTTCTGACTCTCCAGGAGAGATGAACTCTGACTGTATCAGTCACTGTCCTGCTCTTTAGTGCCCTGTCCCCCGCACCCACGTCTGAAGACTCCCTCTTTAATAAGTCAGTCACATAATTTTCTTTGATGTAATGTTCCCCACTCCACAATGTATTTTCGCTGTAGATATTTAAACTGTAGCATCTTAGCATATACTGGTGGAGCTTTTTCTTTTTGATTAGAAGTCCAATGTTTTTTTGTTTTTTGTTTTTTTGTGGTTTAACCAATGTGATGTGGGTGATGAGTACAGTACCCTGATAAGAAATGTCTTTGATCTGTACATTGATTGGGATTGTACATCTATTAGAATGTAGAGCAGGCAGAAAACATGTAAATAGACCTTGTTCATATATTTTTCTTTTCCACTGAATGGTTGTGTAATTTTTTGCAGTGCCATGTAAATAAATGTGACAGAATCTGGCAGAAGCTTGGTCTTGGGATTTCTTTTTGTTCCTTTTGGTGCAGTAGTGTGTTTGTCCACATGATGGCAGTAAACGACTTCTCTGTCCACAGTCTCTGAGAACATATATGTTAGGACATCAGCCTCAGGGCATGATTTTAGATTTTAGGGTTTGTGGCCACTCAACGGTGGGACAGGTTAGGTGTTTTAAAGTATTTTGAACTGAACTGGTACTAAAACGTATATAGATTTAATTTTCTTTTACTATAGCTGTAAGCTCTGCAACTAAATGGCTTTTATAGAAATTAGTAAATTAAAAAAGGGCTATTACAATATTTACAAGTTTCAATAGAATTTAGATTAGAAAAGCTAAATGAGTGCATCCCATAAATGTACTGTCTCACGGGTGTAGGTCTTCGCTTCCTGAGTCTAAGGTTTCCCTCAGTCTGATCGTGACGTTTGAAAAAGGAAGCCAGCACAACAGTATTAATACACAGGTCCGATCACAACACCCACCTGTCAATCTGCCGCCTCCCACGTGCTCAGCAGGGCGGGCGCATTTCCACTCGTGGAGTTCTCAGCCTGAGGAGGGCAAACCGGCTCCATCGGCCGCACTTGTGCATCTATAGGATACTGCCCTGCAGGAAACTCCGACCTGACAGTCTTCCCCGTTCGCCCCCAGCTGCTCCCATCTGCGCGTGCCGAGCCCCCGCGCGCTGCTGGTGCCTCTGCTCCAAGATTTATTGAAGCCAGCGTTTTGAACCCGGAGGCCACTTTGCTGTTGTCGTAAGTTTTAAAACGCGTTAGGTGCGCCGTTCAGGGACCCGTGCTCCGGTTTTGGTGCAACATTGGCTCAAGTAGAGGAGTTTGTTTTAGGTCCGCCGACTGACTTTAAAACAGGACCGCAGCATGGATAAATCCAGCGACTCCATCGGGGAAAGTACGCCGGTGTGCCAGTGTGCCCCCAAGACTGTGGCTCGGCGGTGGGTGCCGGCGTTCCCCATCGCTCTGTGTTTGCTGATGTCCCTGAGCTCCATCACCGTCAGCCTGCTGATGAGCCTCAAGACCTACCAGCTGGAGAACCGCCTGCAGACGGAGATGGACAAAGCGGCCGTCTTCCAGCCCTCGTACACGGCTTTTCAAAACGAGGATGGCACTCTTGTGTCCGAGCTGAGCACGCCGATAGAGAAGTTCGTTGAAGAGGTACATAACGTCTGTTCTGGATATGAGTCGCGCACACTGATTGTGTCTGCAAACTGATGCGTAAACTGTGCGTAAAAACGGCCTGCGATGTAACTGAACCGCGAGTTTGTTGTCATTTTTGTTTTCTGACTTGATAGGTGTCTTGATAGTGCCCGCATAGCTAGTTCTTATGTCAGTAGTCCTACATAACACAGATTTTCTCTAACGCTTCGATTTGATCTTTGTGCATTTGCAGAAAGTGACGGCTCAGATGCCGAAGTACCGGACAGCCAGGGACGTCGGTCAGGAGTGCGCCTGTCCCCCAGGTATCAGTCTCTGCTCTTTCTTACCACAAGTCCCTGAACAGGCAAGGACAAAAAGAAGGGAAAAAAGGCAAGACAGTCCGTAGAGCGTCTGTCTCAGACTCTTTCATGTTTGAACACATGCTGCTGGTTTTCTTATTCCAATATAAGTTATTATGTCCGCTAAGTCAGCAGGGCCCGTTCTGTGACCGAAGGGCACACCACGGCACATCAGTGGGGTTCGCAACGTCCAGCCCGAGCCCTTGAGTTCTGCATTAGAGGGGGATGCTGGGTTTAATGGACGGGGCAGCAGCGTGCCAGGATTGGCCGAGTTTGGCTGGCGGTGTTCATTACAGAGCTTTTGATAGTTCCCGGGGTGAAGAACAGTATGTGATCCTCATCGCGTTACACACAGTTCTCCATTATGCATGTGAATTTAAAAAAAAAGTTTATTTCACTGAAAGTGGATTTTATGTTTGGGGCGATGTGCAGGCGGAGCGGTGCCCCTGGCCTCAGTCCCACTGACCCCTGGACCAGCAGTCTATTAGATAGTTTACATATTTGACATGACCTATGGAGGAGGAAGTCAGGCCTTATTGACCATAGTTTATTTGGCCTGTAGCAACAGGATGTGAGTTTGTGTTATCAACAGAGACATTAAGAAATTCCAATAAATAAAAAAAAGAAAAGAAAATAATTCTAATTCGTATAAATAACCTTCAGTTGCAGGGTTTTTTTTTTTCAAGATACCGCTCAGTGAGAATAACTGAAACAAATTAAAACATTCACAAGAGGAATTTTTGGCACACTGTCCACAGTCTCTGTTCGTGGGCCTGAAGTCTGGTGTGCCACGAAAGCAGGCGGATTTTTAGTGTAGTGAGATAAAGGGGAGGTTTCCCTCAAATGAAATCAATTTACTTCATTCCTTCATATTATTAAGTCTCATTTTGTATATTTTTAGTTGTATCTAGTCATTTTTTTCAGAGTTGCTAAGCTGTCGTATTGTGCGCTGAAACAAATTCCCTCTGCGGGTGTTCAAAGGTCTACATAAAGTTCTATCTTTTCAGTTTCTGGTCTGGAGACGTGGTTTTTGTGTTTTAGTGAAACAAAGGGCCGTCTTGTTTACTGCAGCTTTGATGCAAATCAAATGCCTGTGGGTCTTTTTTCATGTCTTAGCAATTATATTGCTCAATACATATTGAGCAATCTAATTGCTTTTCACACTTTGTTCACATTTATGCACAAAATGCTTTTTTTTTTATTGAAGGACCTTTTTAAAAAAAAGAAGAAAAATCCTTTCTTCTATCATGGGTACCAATGCTTTTTACTGTCAAGTGACTCGTGTCTTTGTGTAGCTAGATCGTGCCTTTGCTTCATGTGTGTGCATCCTCATGGCAGCTTGCAGTGCTGATGGTGGTGCTACGTGAGTTTCTGTCCCCGGGCCTTTGAGGGGCCGACAGAGGCTCCTCTCCCAGCAGCGCGCTGTAAGGGGAGACCTCCCCTCTGCCTTTAGCATCAGCTCTCAGCACCTGAAACTTGAATCTTTTACCACCGGGATCACAGGCCGAGGTATTTCTGCCTCTGTGTGTGTGCGGGAGATGGGGCGAGAGCCGCACTAGCGCGCAGCACGAGTGGCATTTGGGCCATTAGAGCTATGCCCTCCACAACAGGGGGCTCACCTTTCAGGGTGCACGGGGGAGAGGGCACCAACAGGGGGCAGCACATCCGCAGCACCGCAGGTCCCCGCCATGAGGATAGATTCTTTTTTTTTATTGACGCGACTGACTTATCATGTCGTCTGATTGGAGAAAAAAAAGTTATTTAAGGTCAAAACCCTGTGGAGGAACCCTTGTGGGACCAGAGGATGGATCCCAGGCTTTGACTGAGGGATCATTCCCCCCATTCACAACGCATTGTGACACTTTTATGCTCACAGATACAATATGGCCCGCCGTCGTTAAGTCTTAGGCAAACTGTCACTGAAAACATCTCTGCTTACAAGCTTCAGGTGTTTGCAATTAACACTCGCCCGCTCCCTCCACTGACACACACACACACACACACACGCACAGACACACACACACGGTGCTGTTGTAAGCCTGCCTCACATACACTCATGTGTGCGTTCACTGCCTAAACACGAGCACCTCTATGGTACCGGCGGTAATTAGAATCATGTGGGGGCTGTTTGTGGCCCGTTTAAGAGGAGTGTATTGTCTGTTTTTAACATGTCTGGTACCAGATAGGGGGTCCAGGGACTGCCCACCAGCTCCTCCTGGTCCAGCTCTTCCATTGTGAGGATTTGCTGTTTGTTTATGGTCTGTCGCTGTAAACCTAAGATCTCTGAGTTTGGACAGTTAGTTACTCAAACATCAATCCAATGACGTTAGCTTTTGGAAAATGTCTCAACATTTGAAAACGGTTCTTGATCTCGTTTTTGGCCCATTGACGAGCGATCCTCCACTGTAGGCTGTTTCCAAGTTGTAAGCCCCTGAGTTTGTCTTGTTCTGGTTTGAGGTGCGTTCATTGTCTGCAGTGCATCAAGGTCTGGTGCCGGTGTATGTGAGGCTGAGAGGTCAGGAGTCCCGCTGTGCAGATGGATCAATTTCCATCAGATAGGAGCTCATTTGCACCCTGAGCGGGGACACGGAGCCCCGTGTTTGTGCACATGTTTGTGTAGGTGATTGAATGAGCATGCTCGTAGCAGGGCTCCGTTCAACACGTGCACACACGGGCAAAAGAATCTGAAAAGCCGGGGGTTTTATGGTCTATCCACAGTTGTGTGGCCCCGATCACTGTGTTTCCACGCAGCCTGCAGCAGTGTGACGGCTGAATAAGCTGAGGAATGGACTACCAGCTCTGGTGTGGAACCCTCAGCAGCCTGCTGGTGTTAACCAGCCTGTCTGGGGATCAACCTCTCACCTCGGAGGCAGAGGTGAAGCCGCACGCTCTCCCCGCTCAGCATCCTGCTCTCCCACCTGGAGGAAAAGATTTTTGAAGATGGAGACTTCCAGAAAAAAAAAAGGGGAAAAAAAGGGCTAAGGCCCCCAGGGCGGCGTTGTGTTTTTAAAGCCATAATAAATCATACAGGAAGCTCGTAGCTACCTATAGGCCTACAGCCTATCGCCGCAGGAAGAATACACAAAGCATATAAGATCCATTAATGGGCATTTTGAAACAACCACAGGAAATTTGTTTCCATTAGTAGCCTTTTTCCCCCAGATTCGATTCACCGTGGGCTGTGGCAACATTAAAATGTTGCACCAGAGCACATAGCAAGCTGTGTGTGTGTGTGTGTGTGTGTGTGTGTGTGTGTGTGCGCTTTTGCTCTGTGTGTCTGCACGCTCTGAGTGGGGTGTTCTGTGAGGGTGTGTTTGTTTTGATGTCTGCTGGCACAGGTTTTAGTGTGCGTCTCACAGCGACTGACTACATTGCTTTACATTCTCGGCCTATGAGAGCAGTTATGAAAAGGGTATCCTGTGGCAGAAAAGCCAGGTGGCTTTATTACTTTATGCTGCGGTAGGAAGGGGATTTCAAACTGGGGAGTAAAGTACACACTCTTTAAGATACAAAATACTTTCTACCCCTGCTGCTGTGGAGTCGAGTGGGCCCTGCCTCCAGATCAGAGCCCGTCTGTGGGATCGTTTCCTCACTGTTAAATTTTAGAATCATACATAACGAGGACTAAATTAACACGTTTAGCGTAACCGTTGCATTTGGTTAAATATTGGCTGGAGGAAATGCTACCTGAACACTTTCAGTGAGAAACCTTTGGTGGTTTGATGGACATGGTCTGGGCGGATGGAGCCTGTTGCTTTCCCCTAAATGTCCCCGCTCTGCGCCCTGCGCCTCACCGCTGACCACAGCCACCGCACAGGTCAGGCATCCGCCAGCTGTAGAAGTCTGGTCTCCTTGGGTTACACCTGCCCCTCAGCTGATGTGTCTGGGATTCTGTACTGGTGACAGGGAGAGGGGGGATAAAAATGAGCGACTCCACTTGATATCTTGGTCTTATTTGGAGAATTTGGAAGGCTTGAAGTGCTCCCAGTTTATTTGTAGGAGGAAAGTGGAATGACGCTTCTTGAATAGCCAGAGATATTTAGTTTTGGAGATGGATAGATCTGTATAGCCATATCTCTTCAGACCTGGTTGTAAATATAGATTGAAGTGGTGTTACTGGATGAATGATTACATCCTCCAGGACTGAGCTACATCAGCTTTGTGTACGTCCAAAGGTAGGTTTGTATGAAAAAGGTTTTCAATTGGCTCTCAGCAACTAGCTGCTATAATGGAGTCTGTGGCCGCTCCTCGGAAAAGAAGTCCTCCAGTTAAAATGCCCGCAAATGCCAGTTTGTTCATACCATGAGCGGGAAATAAGACTAAAATGAGTGTTTCCACATCAAAGCACAAATCCCTCTCAAATCCTTCCTTTAAGAACAGGAAGGAGGGAGTTAACATTAAGTTAATAACACAAAACTCTAGGAAAACAGTTTTCTTAGCTTTACCTCAATTCAGGCTGGGAGCAAAATATCTTGTAAAATCGGGGCGAATAACAATTACTCCATCACTACATGAGATCGTCTCAATCTGTGAATCAGTCAGATGTCGAGTGTCAGGTTAGCTGTGCATTAAACAGTAAGATAAATTCAATAGTTTATTACTTAGACACTGTGCTCTGGTTTGGTGTCATAATGGGTCAATAACCAGTAAGATTGATAGATTCTTAGATTGCACAGAGATAAGTTTAAACCTTATCACAGCAGTTGTAACCCGCTCCAGGTGTGTGCGCATGTGTGTGTGAGTGTCTCATCTCTGGCCCACTGGTTTACCCCCTGGGTTTATTCCCTCTACCCACCTACACACAGCAAAAGTGACGGGCCCCTCCCCTCGCTGTCTCTCATCAGCCTTCTTATTAAAGTTAGCTTTGTGGAACCACAGAGTTTAACAGCGGGGCCGACATTCTTCCTTTTGAAAAATAAACAGCTGGACACAGACTGGCCAGTCGGCAGCCCACGAAGGCCCACAAGGAGCTCAGGAAAACGGAGAGGAGAAAAGGGCCGGGTGCCAGGTACCGCAGCCCGAGATTTACAAAAGTCAAACAACCACAAAAACCTTCTGAACAGACAACCTCATCCCCTGGATGTAGTTTTAATTCACAGCAAACAGGCTGGATGCAATTATCTGCTGACACGATATCGTATTTGCTGTTTGAATTGACTGAAGTCCTTGCAAGCAGGAGGTCACGTTCAGCGAGTCAAGAGGAAAACACAGGTTGTGATTTGAAAAAAAAAAGACTTTCAAAAGATTTCGATTCCATACGTTGATATTTGAGAATCAAATTTGGAGTCGTTACCTCTTGGCTGGAAGTCAGAACACTTCTCCACAAATAGAGCCAGCCATTGAGCAACAGCTATGAGAGGGTATGTTTATATTTATGTCATTGTCTTTTTCCAGGAAAGTCCGAGAGCTCAGGAAGCACAGTTTTTCTCATGCTCCTCCGCTCCTTAAAGCGGCGCGAGGCCAAAAAAACAAGACTGCTTCTAGTGCT